ATTCGAGACAATTTAATAAGTAAAGTATTTTCCAAAAGCACAAAAAAATGAAGCTAAATCCCATAAAAGAGAAGAAAAAATGTTGAATTTTAAGAAATTCGGATTTTTGAATTTTTGATAATTTTCATTAATTTTAGATTTTTTACCAAAGATTCGAGACAATTTAATAAGTAAAGTATTTTCCAAAAGCACAAAAATAATGAAGCTAAATCCCATAAAAGAGAGGAAAAAATGTTGAATTTTAAGAAATTCGGATTTTTGAATTTTTTGATAATTTTCATTAATTTTAGATTTTTTACCAAAGATTCGAGACAATTTAATAAGTAAAGTATTTTCCAAAAGCACAAAAATAATGAAGCTAAATCCTATAAAAGAGAGGAAAAAATGTTGAATTTTAAGATATTCGGATTTTTGAATTTTTGATAATTTTCGATAATTTTAGATTTTTTACCAAAGAGTCGAGAGTATTAAATAAGTAAAGTATTTTCCAAAAGCACAAAAATAATGAAGCTAAATCCTATAAAAGAGAGCAAAAAATGTTGAATTTTAAGAAATTCGGATTTTTGAATTTTTGATAATTTTCATTAATTTTAGATTTTTTACCAAAGATTCGAGACAATTTAATAAGTAAAGTATTTTCCAAAAGCACAAAAAAATGAAGCTAAATCCCATAAAAGAGAAGAAAAAATGTTGAATTTTAAGAAATTCGGATTTTTGAATTTTTGATAATTTTCATTAATTTTAGATTTTTTACCAAAGATTCGAGACAATTTAATAGGTAAAGTATTTTCCAAAAGCACAAAAATAATGAAGGTAAATCCTATAAAAGAGAGGAAAAAATGTTGAATTTTAAGAAATTCGGATTTTTGAATTTTTGATAATTTTCGATAATTTTAGATTTTTTACCAAAGAGTCGAGAGTATTAAATAAGTAAAGTATTTTCCAAAAGCACAAAAATAATGAAGCTAAATCCTATAAAAGAGAGGAAAAAATGTTGAATTTTAAGAAATTCGGATTTTTGAATATTTGATAATTTTCATTAATTTTAGATTTTTTACCAAAGAGTCGAGACAATTTAATAAGTAAAGTATTTTCCAAAAGCACAAAAATAATGAAGGTAAATCCTATAAAAGAGAGGAAAAAATGTTGAATTTTAAGAAATTCGGATTTTTGAATTTTTGATAATTTTCGATAATTTTAGATTTTTTACCAAAGAGTCGAGAGTATTAAATAAGTAAAGTATTTTCCAAAAGCACAAAAATAATGAAGCTAAATCCTATAAAAGAGAGGAAAAAATGTTGAATTTTAAGAAATTCGGATTTTTGAATATTTGATAATTTTCATTAATTTTAGATTTTTTACCAAAGAGTCGAGACAATTTAATAAGTAAAGTATTTTCCAAAAGCACAAAAATAATGAAGGTAAATCCTATAAAAGAGAGGAAAAAATGTTGAATTTTAAGAAATTCGGATTTTTGAATATTTGATAATTTTCATTAATTTTAGATTTTTTACCAAAGAGTCGAGACAATTTAATAAGTAAAGTATTTTCCAAAAGCACAAAAATAATGAAGGTAAATCCTATAAAAGAGAGGAAAAAATGTTGAATTTTAAGAAATTCGGATTTTTGAATTTTTGATAATTTTCGATAATTTTAGATTTTTTACCAAAGAGTCGAGAGTATTAAATAAGTAAAGTATTTTCCAAAAGCACAAAAATAATGAAGCTAAATCCTATAAAAGAGAGGAAAAAATGTTGAATTTTAAGAAATTCGGATTTTTGAATATTTGATAATTTTCATTAATTTTAGATTTTTTACCAAAGAGTCGAGACAATTTAATAAGTAAAGTATTTTCCAAAAGCACAAAAATAATGAAGGTAAATCCTATAAAAGAGAGGAAAAAATGTTGAATTTTAAGAAATTCGGATTTTTGAATTTTTGATAATTTTCGATAATTTTAGATTTTTTACCAAAGAGTCGAGAGTATTAAATAAGTAAAGTATTTTCCAAAAGCACAAAAATAATGAAGCTAAATCCTATAAAAGAGAGGAAAAAATGTTGAATTTTAAGAAATTCGGATTTTTGAATATTTGATAATTTTCATTAATTTTAGATTTTTTACCAAAGAGTCGAGACAATTTAATAAGTAAAGTATTTTCCAAAAGCACAAAAATAATGAAGGTAAATCCTATAAAAGAGAGGAAAAAATGTTGAATTTTAAGAAATTCGGATTTTTGAATTTTTGATAATTTTCGATAATTTTAGATTTTTTACCAAAGAGTCGAGAGTATTAAATAAGTAAAGTATTTTCCAAAAGCACAAAAATAATAAAGCTAAATCCTATAAAAGAGAGGAAAAAATGTTGAATTTTAAGAAATTCGGATTTTTGAATTTTTGATAATTTTCGATAATTTTAGATTTTTTACCAAAGAGTCGAGAGTATTAAATAAGTAAAGTATTTTCCAAAAGCACAAAAATAATGAAGCTAAATCCTATAAAAGAGAGGAATAAATGTTGAATTTTAAGAAATTCGGATTTTTGAATTTTTGATAATTTTCATTAATTTTAGATTTTTTACCAAAGATTCGAGACAATTTAATAAGTAAAGTATTTTCCAAAAGCACAAAAATAATGAAGCTAAATCCTATAAAAGAGAGGAAAAAATGTTGAATTTTAAGAAATTCGGATTTTTGAATTTTTGATAATTTTCATTAATTTTAGATTTTTTACCAAAGAGTCGAGACAATTTAATAAGTAAAGTATTTTCCAAAAGCACAAAAATAATGAAGCTAAATCCTATAAAAGAGAGGAAAAAATGTTGAATTTTAAGAAATTCGGATTTTTGAATTTTTGATAATTTTCATTAATTTTAGATTTTTTACCAAAGATTCGAGACAATTTAATAAGTAAAGTATTTTCCAAAAGCACAAAAAAATGAATCTAAATCCCATAAAAGAGAAGAAAAAATGTTGAATTTTAAGAAATTCGGATTTTTGAATTTTTGATAATTTTCATTAATTTCAGATTTTTTACCAAAGAGTCGAGACAATTTAATAAGTAAAGTATTTTCCAAAAGCACAAAAGTAATGAAGCTAAATCCCATAAAAGAGAAGAAAAAATGTTGAATTTTAAGAAAATCGGATTTTTGAATTTTTTCGAATTTTTGATAATTATAGATTTTTTACCAAAGAGTCGAGACAATTTAATAAGTAAAGTATTTTCCAAAAGCACAAAAATAATGAAGCTAAATTCCATAAAAGAGAAGAAAAAATGTTGAATTTTAAGAAAATCGGATTTTTGAATTTTTTCGAATTTTTGATAATTTTAGATTTTTTACCAAAGAGTCGAGACAATTTAATAAGTAAAGTATTTTCCAAAAGCACAAAAATAATGAAGCTAAATCCTATAAAAGAGAGGAAAAAATGTTGAATTTTAAGAAAAACGGATTTTTGAAATTTTTCGAATTTTTGATAATTTTAGATTTTTTACCAAAGAGTCGAGACTATTTAATATATAAAGTATTTTCCAAAAGCACAAAAATAATGAAGCTAAATCCCATAAAAGAGAAGAAAAAATGTTGAATTTTAAGAAAATCGGATTTTTGAATTTTTGATAATTTTCGATAATTTTAGATTTTTTACTAAAGAGTCGAGACAATTTAATAAGTAAAGTAATTTCCAAAAGCACAAAAATAATGAAGCTAAATCCCATAAAAGAGAGGAAAAAATGTTGAATTTTAAGAAAATCGGATTTTTGAATTTTTTCGAATTTTTGATAATTTTAGATTTTTTACCAAAGAGTCGAGACAATTTAATAAGTAAAGTATTTTCCAAAAGCACAAAAATAATGAAGCTAAATCCCATAAAAGAGAAGAAAAAATGTTGAATTTTAAGAAAATCGGATTTTTGAATTTTTGATAATTTTCGATAATTTTAGATTTTTTACTAAAGAGTCGAGACAATTTAATAAGTAAAGTAATTTTCAAAAGCACAAAAATAATGAAGCTAAATCCCATAAAAGAGAGGAAAAAATGTTGAATTTTAAGAAAATCGGATTTTTGAATTTTTTCGAATTTTTGATAATTTTAGATTTTTTACCAAAGAGTCGAGACAATTTAATAAGTAAAGTATTTTCCACATTAAAAAGTTTGACATTAAAAAATATATAAAAAATGCCAATACTTAACCCACAAAATTAAATTTTCAAAACAAACAAATGAATGCAGATAATTTGCTAACGGAAAGGAAACTTACGATTATTATAATGTATGTATATGTATATTTCTATTTTCTATCAAAACGTATAAAAAACAAAAGAATAACTATAACTAACTTCAAGTGTGGACAGAGATCCGGAAATCTGGAATCACGACGATTATTATATATAATTTTAAAATTATTTTGAAAATAAAAGTATGAAATATGTAATTTGCATTTTTGCGAAATTCAATTTTCCTCTTACAACAAGATAGTTTAACAGTAGTAATAATAATTTTTAAAAATTTATCGTATTCACTTGAAATTCGTTATTTCGTTTCTAATCACGAATTGACGTTAAATATTCGAAATTCAAAATAGTTTCCATTTGTCTGACTTTTTTTCTAATTTATCAGATTCAGTGATTTTTGGTGTGAATTTGATAGTTTTAAAATGATTAATTTCTATATTGAATTCGTTATTTTGAATTTAGAAAATCTGATGTCAATTTAATTCTTTTTTTCGTTATGCACCTGGAAAAACTAGAAATTTCACTGTAATAGCGAAATTTTTCAGTGCTTCTATTAATACTTTCGCTATTCTAGAGAAACTTATCGCTGTTTCAAGTGAAACTTTTTTCCCGCGTGTAATAATTATTATTTCTTTACAAATTATTTAAATTAAAATTGCTTCAAATTGTTTAGTATAAGCAATGCAATACTTTTGGCAATACGTTTGGCTAGCAGAAAGTAATTAAAGAATAAAGCGTCGAAAGCATTTACAATAATCTGAATTGAAACCAACCTGGTGAACAACATCAGGTACCCTCTGAAGAGTATCGGACCATAAAGGACTCGAGCTCCAGTGCTCCACTGAATCAGTCGGCTCCATCATTTGGGGCAATGGTTTCACCACTAATCGCTTGTGAGAATAATTTCTATCGCATCCCTCCACGTGACCTTTATCCAGATCAATGATATTGTACTTGTTCGAATCGCCCGTTGAAAACTGAATCGGAACGTGTGTTGTTAATTTTGATCTGTAACCAGGATGTGTCAAACATTTTTGTACCTTATGATGTTTTGGATTGAAATTTAACGAATGAACATTCAACGAATGATGATGAGGAGAATTATGATGATGGTGATGATGATGATGTTGATGTTGTTGCTGCTGCTGCTGCTGTTGTTGTTGTTGTTGTTGTTGTTGATGATGATTATGAAGTGTTCTATTCTCATTTTCCGTCGAACTATTAATTGACATATCAACAGGTTCAGCTTCATCGCTTGTCAGTCTTCCACATTTTGGCATCACATATTCACCCTCCGTCTTGACCGAACGTTCCTTCCACGATTCCTCAATGGGATACGATGGCGAGGATTCCGACTCGGGTATAAAACTCGATCTCACATAATCGTGATGATGAGAATAGGGAATCGTTTGATTTTGGCCCGTTGGACAAATGCCGTAGGTGAATTTCGATTGGGATGAATACTGATAGAGCCAGGTACTCGCTCGCATCACTTCCGCCTCTTTTTCGCTGCATTTACAAAAAAAGAATATCAATTTTTCCATTTACATTATTTTCTAAAATTTTAATAAATCCTTCGAAATAATTCAATTTCTTTTTAATTTTTAATAACATTTTTCGAAAGAATTCAATTATTTTCTAAAATTTTAATAAATTCTTCGAAACAATTCAATTATTTTTTAATTTCTAATACAATTTTTCGAAAGAATTCAATTATTTTCTAAAATTTAAATAAATCCTTCAAAACAATTCAATTATTTTTTTAATTTCTAATACATATTTTCGAAAGAATTCAATTATTTTCTAAAATTTGAATAAATCCTTTGAAACAATTCAATTATTTTTAAATTTCTAATACAATTTTTCGAAAGAATCCAATTATTTTGTAAAATTTTAATAAATCCTTCAAAACAATTCAATTATTTTTATAAGTAAAGTAAAATTCATCGAAAGAATTTAATTAATTACAAATACTCTAATAAAATTGTTTAAAAGAATATAAATCTATACTTCGAAAAAATTTAATTATTTTCTATTTTTTAATAAACTTTCTTGAATGAATTAAATTATTTTAGAAAATTGTAATAAAATTCTAAGAAAAATGAAATTATTTTCTAAAAATTTTAATAATATTCAATAATTAAATGTTTAATTTCAATTATTAAGAAATATGATTATTTTAAAAACTTGAAAGAAATTGTTCATAAAATTAAATTATTTTCAATATTTTCAATGAAAATTATTAAACAAAACTTCATTGTTTTCAAAAAATTTCAAAAAATTCTTCAAAAGAATTTAATTAGGATTTTCAAAATTTTTTTTTAAAATTCTTTATACGGTTAAAAATAAATATAAATTTAATTAATTTACTTGAAATAATTTAATTATTTTAAAAATTCTTATTAAATTCTACGAAAAAATTCAATTATTTCCAAAACTTTTTATAAACCTCTTCCAAAAAGTTCAATTATTTTCAAAAATAATACAATTTTTCACAGAACATCAATTATTTTTAATAATTTTAGTAAAATTCTTCAAAACAGTTCAATTTAAAAAAAAAATTGAAAAAGTTCCTTATAAAAAATACAAATAAAAATTTATTTAAATTCCTCGAATAAATTAATGGAATTCCAAAAAATTTTTTTAATTTAATTTTAGTAAAATTTTATAAAATAAAAGTATATAAAATTATTTGTAAGAATTTAATTATTTTCAAAACAATTTTAATGAAATTTCAGAAACGAGTTCTATTATTTTTTAAATATTAATATATATAGGAAGTTATCAATTACTTTTTAAATAATTCATTATTTAAAAAATATGCAGATTTTTCATTTTTTTCAATAAGTTTTAATGATTTTAATGAAATTCTTTTATTCAAATTAATTATTTTCAAAAATTTTTAATAAAATTTATCAAAACAATTAAATTATTTTAAATTTAAATCCAATATTAATAAAATTCTACAAAAAAATTCTGATATTTTTAAAAATTCTAATACAATTTTTCGCAGACATTCAATTATTGCTAAGAATGTTATTATAATTTTTGAAAATAATTGAATTCCTGCAAATAATTTGTTGTTTATGAAAATAATTTAATTCTTGCAAAGATTTTTGTCATTTATGAAAATAATTTAATTCTTGCGAAGAATTTTTAAAAAAATTTTATAAATAATGTAATTTCAGCAAGAATTTTATTATTAAAGAAGATTATTGAATACTTGCCAAGAATGTAATTAAAATTTTGAAAAATAATTGAAATTTCGCAATGAATTTTGTTATTTAGGAGAATAATTGAATTCTTGCGAAGAATTTTTATTAAAGTTTTTGTAAATAATTCAATTTCTGGGAAATCAAATATTTTATATTAATTTTTCGCAAGAATTCAATTATTTTTGAAAATTTTAATAAAATTCTAAGGTAGAATTAAATTATTTTAAAATTGAAATTGTAAGTCATAAGTTATATTTATAATTATGTAATTCATAAAATGTATTAAAAATAACTCATCAAATTTTGTTAAATTGTTCCTAAAATATAAAAAAGAAATAAAAAACAAACAAATTGAGGTTTCAAATGATTGAATTAAAATTGTTTACGATTTTAAATTCAGAGGCAATCGAGATTTTAATCGATGGAAATTTTAACAATTTAGAGTTTACATTTATTTGCAAAAATATAAATGTATTAAACATTTTTTGATTGAAAATATTTAAAGAACTTAGAGAATAAAAATTTTTTTTGAAACTCAAAATTTTGCCAATACCTTAATACTTGATTGGTGCAAACGATAATGGGATGCTGACACTCTTCTGAACTATCTTTGACTTGAAGAACGCAGTGGACCCAAAACCATCTTCCAGAACGATTCTGTAGCCTCAATAATGCCGTGCTCGATCGCTCCTGATCCGATTGAATAACTGAAAGATATTTTAACAATTTTAGTCATTTTTCAAGTAATTTATCTAATTATTGTTAGATAAATAAATGTAGTTAAATAAATTATAGATTTCTTTACTTTAAGCCTTATTTTACTTTGAAAAAGTAATTATTTTTTCAAAAGTAGAAAAAATGGATTAATCTTTTAGTTGCACATAAAATAAATAAATTAAAAAAGTTACTTTTCAAATTTAAGTTTGATAGCTAAAAAAAATTAATTACCAGTTTGATGTTTACAATACGCTGTTCGTATGCAATCCCAGTGGAGAAGATTGTACCAGGAAACACCAACCAGCTCAGAACGACTATATTCCATATGACTTTCTGCCCTTTTTCGCAAAAAACAGAAGAAATTCTTACTTAAAAAAAATTTTATAAAACAATAATGTATTATAATTAAATAATACGAAAAAATATACTCTTAAATAAAATGAAATCAAAGTTGCCACTAAAATAAATTTTTTTTTAAATTCAAGTATTTATAAACAATTAAAAAGTGACTGAAATTCAATTATTTATGAAAAATTGCAACTTTTTTCAACTAAAATCTTTTCTAAGTTAATTACAGATTAAAAATTTAAGAAAGTTACCCTACAATTTAATTATTTAGAATGAATCTAATTATTTAGAGAAATGAGAAAAAATCAAGATATTACTTTAAAATTGTAAAATTAAATTCATTAAAAATTTCTAAGATAAAATTGATTTCTAGAAATTTGATATTTTTCCATTACTTTTGATATAATTCCCTGACAATTTTATTTTTTCTGATTGTCCTAATTTCCCTGACTTATGGCAACTCTGAATAAAAAAATTAAAATTATATTTTTTCTCAAATTAATTAATAAAATTAAATCCAATGTGGCCACAGAAAACGTTATTCTTAAAATTTCTTGATAATTCTCTAGATTCTCCGGTTGAAAAATATTTAGAATTTTCTTTGGTAAATCAAAGAAAATCCAAATAGAATAGAAAGTATTCCAAATAGAATAATAACAACAAAAAAAATCTTTTCTTCTTCATAGATGTAAATATATCCATCTTTAAATTTTCTGCGGTCACTCAGTGCTTTTTGTCTTCGACTTTGTCTTTCAATTCAATTATTGTCATACGTTTTATCAATGTGAAGATACTTCATGTCCATTGAATGAATTGTGGTAAAAATATTCGTGGCGCCTTGCACGACACTTTCTCTCGTCTCAGGAAGAACCACCGGCGTGCAAGAAGCCAGAAAAACTGACTCATTGCGATTACAAAGTGGCACAAAAGGCAGATAATGGCCCTCCACCAACACAACCTGGAAAAACGACAAATGAATTATAATTCTATCCTTTCAAATCTATATTAATAAATTAATTATAATTCAAATTCAGAATTTTCTTATGAATTCTAAACATTTAATTTTTTCCAGTCCTTTTAATAAAAATCTCTGACTTTCTCCTGATTTCCTGGACTTTTTGACTTGTGTCAATCCTAAAATAATAAACAATAGAAAATAAAAGTAAATAAGAGTCAATAATTGTCAATTATAGTAAATAAGAGTCAATAATAGTCAGTAATAGTAACAAATAGTAAAAAAGAGTAACAAGAAGTAAATGATAGTAAATAACAGAAAATAATAATAATAATAAATAAAAGTGAATAAAAGTGAATAAAAGTAAATAAAAAGTCGTTAATAAAAGGTCTATAAAAGAAGGAATAATAGAAAGCAAAGAGTGATTTTCTTGGTTTCTATATAAGAGATTATTTGCATAAGGATTAAATAATACTTCATCGTGGATCAAGTCAGATTAAAGAAACGAAATTTGTCCAAATGCCTGGAAAGAAATGAATGAAACGAGTATGAATGTGTGTGTATTATAAAATACATAATGGATTCTGACAGTGCGAAGCTTTTACTTTTTCCAATCAGAACGTGGAAGATTAGCAATCCCGGCAGCCTGCTTATTTACGCGTAATTCGTCGCCGTAGCAATATAGCGGTTACAACATTCCAGGGAGAAACACAGAAAGAAAGAATGAAAGAGGGAGATAGAGAGACATTTATTCTTCCCGCAATAATATAACAAAGAATTTTTTTTTTCCTCATCTACTATATAAAAATCAAATTCTCCCTCATTCTCTGAATTCCATGTCTGTTTTTCTTTTTTCATCTTCTTTTCGAGAAAATTTCATTTCTACTCGCAGGGGGGAAAAAATTAATAAAAATTTATTTTCTGACTGACGAAAACGTTTATCAAACTAAAATGTTAAATTAACGTCAGTTAATTATTATATAATAATAACAATAACAATTATTTTTATTATTAATCAATTAATTAACTATATTAATATCCGTATTCTTCATTCATTCTGTCCAATTCTGTCCGCAATTTGAATTTAGTTTCTGTGTATGCTTTCGTTTTTCTTTCTTTAAAAAATATTGTTTGACAAATTTCGTTTGACTGATCTAAATTATTAGGATAATTATTCTCCCTTTTATTTATGAAAAATACTAGAAAATTGTTAATTGTTAAAAAATTTTTATTAAGAATTAGGAAATATACCCATTTTATGCATAATTTTTATTTCTCAATAACAATATTGTTTACAAACGCATTTTTTTCTTTTAGGAAGAAAAACATTAGATTTTCCCATCTTTTAATATTTTTCTAGAAAATTCTCAATTTTCATAAGGAAATAATTTGCATCAATTCTATTTCTTAATTTCAATTGTTTTAATAAAATTCAAAGTTTTTTTTAAAATAAAGAAAAAAAAATGTTTATAAATTATATTTGTCAATTGGAAAATTTAATTGAAAATGAAACTGAAAATTTTTGAATTTTTCGAAAATAGAGGAAAAAATTTTATTGAAAAAAATGTTCTGTTAAATTTATTTACGAATTTCTTTAATTGTAAAATTATTCGAAAACAATAATTTCTGTTTTAAATATTTTAAATATTCAATTATTATTATTTTTCCGTAGGAATTAAAATTCTTCAAAACAGTCAAATTCAAATCTTTTTGAAATTAATCAACTTTAAAAATATTGTTATAAAATATGAAGATAACGATTACTCCGAGTCTTCGACTCGTAGTAATCGTTATCTTCATATTTTATAATAATAATTAAAGGGGATCAAGTGTTAAAATCATTATTTTATATTATAAGAACATTACTACTGCAACCTATTAAAAATTATTTTCATTTTCTATTATTATCTAAAATTTAAACTACAATTCATTTTCAAATCAATTTTTTTTAGAAAATTCTACGAGAATTCAATTATTTAAATACAAAAGTAAATTATTTATTAAATAATTGAATGTTTCTTAAAATTTGATTCTTATAAAGAATTTTATTAACAAATTTTCAAATAATTGAATTCTTTCGACGAATCTTAATAAAATTTTTAAAAATAACTACATTTTTCAAGGAATTCGATTAAAATTGTAAATTAAAAATAATTGAAATTCTGCAAACAGTTTTATTATTTAGTGAAAATAATTGAATTATTGCGAAGAATTTTATAAAAAAGTATTAAACAATTGTTTTTTGTTCAAAAAATGTATGCAATTCTATTTTTAATAATTGAATTCCTATGAAATTTTCATTATTTTAGAAAATAATTGAATATTCGTGTTGAACTTTGTTGAAATTATTTTTAAATAATTAAATTCTTTTGGGAAATTTTATTAAAATAATAGATTTACAAATTATTCAATTAAGAAAAATGTTTGAAAATAATTGAATTTTATTACTTTTGAAAATAATTGAATTCTTATGATGAATATTGTTATTAATGAAAATTATTGACTTCCTCCGAATCATTTTATTATTTATGAAAATAATTGAATTACTGCGAAGAAATTAATGACAAATTTTAAAACATTTGATTTTTTTGAAATATTTATGTAAATTCTATTTGAAATTAACAAAATTAATTATTATATTATTAATAATTAATTAATAAATAAATTAATAAAATTCCTGTACTATTTTTATTTGTTTGGAAAATAATTGAATGTTTGTGTAGAAAATCATCAAAATTTTTGTTTAATAATTAAATTTTTTTGGAAAATTTTATTAAAATAGTAAAACATTGAAAGTCATTGAATTAAGAAAAATTTTTGAAAATAATTAAAATTTTGCAATGAATTTTATTAAAATTTTTGAAAATAATTGGATTTTATTACTTTTGAAAATAATTGAATTTTTGTGAAGAATTCTATTATTTATAAAAATAATTGAATTCCTTAAAAGAATAAATTTTATTATATTTATAAAAATAATTCAAATTTTGACGAGAATTTTTTTAAATTTTTGAACATAATTGAATTCTTGCGAATTTTATTGCATTTGAAAATGAAATTTTTTAGAAAATTAACATTTTTTGAGGAATACGATTAAAATTGTATTAAAAATAATTGAAATTATGAAAATAATTGAATTATTGAGAAGAATAACTTATAACATTTTTTAAAATATTTGAATTCCTGTGCAATTTTTATTATTTATGAAAATAATTAAATGATTGCGTACAATTTTATTAACATTGTTTTTAAATAATTGAATTCTTTTGGGTAATTTTATTAAAATAGTAGATATTAAAAATCATTGAAATGAGGAAAATTTTTAAAAATAATTGAAATTCTGACAAGAATTTTATTAAAATTTTTGAAAATAATTGAATTTTTGCATTCATTTGTAACTTCTTAAAAATTCAAGTCTTTTTTAGTGTTTTTAACTAAAATTCTTCTATAAATCCATTATTTTTAATAATTAATTAAATATAAATTGACAAATTCAACTAATTTTAGAAGTTTTTGAATTATTAAAATTTTTTAATTAAATTCATTAAACATTGAAATTATTTAGCCGAAATTAATTAATCAGTTCAGCGAAAAAGACAAAAAATTGTAAAAAAAATAATTAAAAATAGAACGAATAGAAAATAAAAGTAAAAATAAAGTTTGGCGTACACGTTTTTTTGATACGATCGTTCCACTTTGCATTGTGTTTCAAAGAGAATTTCAAACACTCTTTACAGTTGAGTTTAGAATAAAGAATGTTTGATTATTTTTCTTTCTTCTTGAACATCATACCTTTTGATCCCCGAAACGAAGTTGTCGACGTGAATTTCGAGACACGTTAATTCGACAAAGAAAGAGTCTTTTGTCATCGGCCGTTGGACTGTTACGAGCCAATTGATTTTGCACCGTCATATGATCTTGTTTGTCGATTACATCGTAAACGCTATCTCCATGAATCAAGAGGTCCTCCTTCAAGCAAAAATATTACAATTTTTAATTATAAACTCAAACTTCTATTCTAATAAAGATCATTATATTATGATTTTCATTAAATTCTTGCAGACATATTTAAAAATACTTTCTGAGATTAATAAATAGAAAATTAATTATTAATAAATTAAAATTAATTAATTATTTTATGTTTTTTACATAAAATTGTAAAATAAATAATAAATCTATAAATATTCTATATTAATAATCCTTGTATTCTAGATGTTTCTTAACAGTTTGAAATTGTTTTTGTTTGCCTTCTTGTATCTTAATTTTTTTGCGACAATTTTTTATTTTAATGCTTTGAATTTTAAAATTAATGAAACTCTAATTTCCATAAGTGATTTTTTTCTAATTTTAAAAGATAAAAATTTTATAAAACCTACATTAATTTTTTTAACTTTTACAATTTTAAATCTATAATATAAAAAATAATTAAAAGTATCACCTATCAAAAACTTTAAATCCGCGCAAAAATATGAAAGAGTCAAGTTAATAAAAATTGAAATTTGCTAATATTAATTTATTAAAATAGATGAGAGGAAAAGTTGACGTTTTTTTCAACTCGATATAAATAATGTAGTTTTTGTAATTAGTGATGAATTAATTATTTTGCTAAATGTAAGTAGAAAAACAATCTTTACGTTTTTTTTTACCATAGAGTGCCCAAGGTATTCAGCGGCGTTTTCAGATATGTAGAGTAGTTTGCCTTGTTGCGTCATCATCATAATAAACCCCGACATGGCCTGGAAAATAGAGATATATATTTTTTCTTTATCACAAATGCACTTTAGTTAACTGTAATTCAATACAAAGGTTCACAAAAACTTTCCAAGTGAATATTTTTCGATATTGAAGCAATATCCATGCAAAACTCTCGTGGTTTGAAAAAAAATCGTATTTTCTTTTAGAATAAAAGAAAAAACAAAGAATAGAAAAAATAAAAAATAATAAACGAAAAACTAAAATTCAAAAATCTAAAAACAACTAAAATACAAAAAAAACTAAAAAACAAAAAACTAAAAAAAGGAAAAAGCTAAAAACTAAAACAAAAAACTAAAAGAAAGAAAAAGCTAAAAACTAAAAAAAAAAAACTAAACGAAGAAAAAAGCTAAAAACTAAAAAAAAGCTAAAAACAAAAAAAAACCAACAGACTGGAAAAACAAAAAGAGACTAAAAGAGAAAAATAAGATTTTTCATTTAAAAAATTCTTTTCCAAATTGGAAAGCGAGCTAAAATTTTAATTCATTTGCTATTTTAACCCTTTTGCTTTCTACTTGAGCGATTTTAATCTCGAGAATTTTTTTCTTTATTTCCTTTGTTTTCATCACTTTTTTTTCGAACAAAAAACTTACTTTGGAAAATCCTATATTGGGCGTCGGAATATTGGACGAATCCGCTGGACTGCTTTTCAGAGCTGCGACAGAAAAAAATTTCAAAATATAATTTTCAATCGACAAAAATTCCAACTATTACACTTTATATCTATCAATTTATTAAAAATCTACTAATTTATTAAAAAAAAAAAAAAAAATACCAACTAACGCGCATAATATTTTTTTAAAATCGTTACAATTTCCCTCCCCTTTGGAAAAATTAATTTTTCTACTCGAAATAATTCTTCCGCCTCGGAATCAAGGAATTTAGTTCTTTTGCATATCATATTCGAAAAAAACAAAATTCTTTTCATTTTAAATTCTCAAATCTAATTCTCTAAATTAATATTTATCAAAAGTGTAAAATTTTGTTTATTTGTATTTTCAACGAATTTTCTAAACAATAAAAAAAAAATAATAAAAAAAAGCAAAAATAATTATTAAAAACTGTTGAAAATAATTGAGTTCTATTTAATATTTTTAAAAAGTAATTGTATTCTTTCGAGAAATTTTATTAAAATTGTATTAAAAATAATTGAATTCCTTTGAAGAATTTTATTTTATTCATAAAAATAATTGAATTCTATGGAGGGATTTTATCAGAATTTTTGAAAATAATTGAATTTAATTAAAATTTTTTTAAATAATTGTATTCTTTCGAGAAATTTTACTAAAATTGAATAATTGAATTCCTCCAAAAAATTTTATTACTATTTTTGGAATTCATGTAATTGAATTCTTCTCACAATTTTATTTCAATTTTCTAAAATAATTTAATTCATTCAGGGAATTTGATTAAAATACAGAAAATAATTTAATTCCTGCATAGAATTTTACTATATATTTATAAAAATAATTGAATGTTTTCTAAAAATTTTACTATTTATATAATCAGTTGAATTGTTTTGAAGAATTTATTAGAAAATTAGAAAATAATTGAATTTTCTTAAAAAGTTTTACAAAAATTGGAAAAAAATTGAATTGAATCCTCTCGTGAAATTTTAATTAAATTTCTATTGAAAATAATTAAATTCTTCTGAAAAATGTTATTATTTATTGAAAATAATTGAAATTTTGCGAAGAATTTAATAAAAATTTTTTAATGTACCTAGTTGAATTTTTTAAAGAAATTGTATTTAAAATTCAAAAAAATTAGCTTTTAAATTCTATAAAAAATAATTTTATTTTTCAAGAATTTTATTTAAAAAATTGACTGTAATTAAATTTTTATAAACAAATTGTATCATTTTCTAATTTTTATAGAATATAATTAAATATTTTACAAGAAATTTCTAAAAAATTTTCAAAATAATTGAATTTCTAAAATAAATTCTACAGACAATTTTAGAAATAATTGAATTTTTGAGAATAAGTCAATTTTAAAATTACTTTATTTATTTTTCAATTATAATTGAAATTTCTAAACTTTTGAAGAAGATATTTGAATATTTTTCTAGAAATTTTTTAAACGTTTTGAAAATTAAGGAATTTTACAGAAAAAAAGATTTTAAATAAATAAATAAATGTTAAATAATAAATAATAAATAATAAATAAATTGAATGTTTGCAAAGAATTTATACTATTTAAAAAAAAATAATTGAATTGTTTTATTGGATTTATTCAAATTTCAGAAAATAATTGAATTCTTTTATTTTTCTTTCCTTTTAATATAATTTATTCTTCTCAAAAACTTAATTATTTTCAAAATTTTCAAAAATTCAATTACTTTCAATATAATTTTAGTTCAATTATTGGAAAGAATTCAATTATTTTTAACAGTTTTAAGATAATTTTTCGCAAAAATTCAATTATTTTCAAAATTTTTAATAAAATCCAAGGCAAGAATTTAATTATCTTTACAAATAATAAAATTCTTCGTTAAAATACAATTTATTTTCATAAATAATAAAAATCTTCGTAGGAATTCAATTATTTTTAAGAATGTTAATATCAGTCTTCTCAAAAATTCAATTCTCTTAATTGATAATAACATTCTTCCCAAAAATTCAATTATTTACTAAAACTTTTATAAAATTCTTCGCAAAAATTCAATTATTTTCAAAAATTTTAATAAAATTCGTCGCAAAAATTCAATTACTTTCAATATAATTTTAGTTCTATTACTGTAAAGAATTCAATTATTTTTAACAGTTTTAAGATAATTCTTCGCAAAAATTCAATTATTTTCAAAATTTTTAATAAAATCTCAGGCAAGAATTTAATTATCTTTACAAATAATAAAATTGAATTTCTAAAATAAATTTTAAAGACAATTTTAGAAATAATTTTATTTTCAAGATTAACTCAATTTTAGAATTACTTTAATTGCTTTTTAATTATAATTGAAATTTCTAAAGTTTTAAAGAAGATATTTGAATAATTTTCCAGAAATTTATTAAACATTTTAAAAATTAAGAAATTTTTCAAGTACTTTTTCAGAAAAAAACGATTTTAAACAACCAGAAGAAAACGAGAAGGAAAAAATTAAAATAATTGAGAATAATTGAATGTTTGCAAAGACTTTAGTATTTAAAAAAAAAATTGAACTGTTTCAATGGATTTATTCAAATTTTAGAAAATAATTGAATTTTTTTATGAAATTTTATTAAAATTGTGTATTTAAATTTTAAAATAATTTAATAAATAATAATTAATTACCTATGTATACTTCATAAGAGAATTTTTTAAATTTTGATTATGAAATCATTCAATAATTTAAATTTGCAAATAATAAATTTTGTAATTTGCATAATAATAATAATGAATTAAATATCATGTTCCGCGCGTAACCTTTGCTAGTGATAATCAATAAAGAAAAGTAAAAATAATGATAATAAAAAAGTAAGAATAGCGATAGACAATAAAAAAAGTAAAAAATAATGATAAACAATAAAAAAAAACTAAAAATAACGATAACCAGTAAAACGAAAGTAAAAAAAAATGATAGACAATAAAAAAAGTAAAAAATAATGATAAACAATAAAAAAAAAGTAAAAATAGCGATAACCAGTAAAACGAAAGTAAAAAAAAATTCTGATAATAAATAAAAATAGAAGGAAAAATTTTTGGAAAAAAATCGAAAATTGTAAAATGTAAAATACAAAAAAGGGTTTTATGGTTTTTTTTTCTAAATTTTTGATGGATTTTCGTTGGCGCTAGGAAAACTTTTCACGAAGAATGCAATGCTCCGTTGGCGCTTGGATTTTGCATCGCGGTAGGAGGGCACACTATGGGAGATACCATAGTCCCCTATGGAGAAAGATTGGGGGGAAGGAAGGGGGACAGAATGAAGGGGACATAGGGGGAGTATGGGTTACAGGAGCGTGAGAGTGTTGTTGCAGAGGCCGAGAGGTCAGCGGATCACCCGGAACTCGCGCTTAGACTTCGCGGAGTTTGAACGCGCCCGCGGTTCTTACCTTCTTACCTTCTTGCAAAGACCTTATGTCTGTCTCGTCTATACTACGTTCAATTATAATACCAACTTCTATATTAGTCTATTTTATTCTTTCTTCTCTAATTTCCTCTCTATTTTCCTTTTCTTCAACTAACCAATTTCTGCATTTTAATTTTTTCCCCATATTTTAAATTTTATTTCTCAATTTTTTAACTCTTTTTCTCTTCCTTTTTCCGATTGTTTCTTATTTTTTTTCCTCTTTTAGATTCGGATTTTTAGCAATAAAAAAATTGCACTTAATAAATAAACAGAACAAAAAGTACGTTTTTTACTATACAAAGTAATGTTTAAAAAATTAATTTTAGATAAATACTAAAAAAAAAAAATTTTTTTAAAGTTCAAGTTTTTAAAAGAAAAAAAGATTAATTTACAAAAAATATTTCTTTCAAAGGTTTGAATTTTTTTTTTGTAAAGTTTGGTAAAGTTTTGAATTTGAAATTATCGAGACAACGAAACAGTTATTTTAAATATTTGAATAAAACCTTCAATGATTGCTATTTTTTGTTAGGGTATTAAATTAAAATTTTAAAAATAATAAATTGAAATTATTAATTAAAATATTCAATTACAATTTTTAATTTTAATATTTAATTCCAGTTTTTAGTTAAAATATTCAATTGAAATTTTCAATTAAAAGATTCATTTGCAAATTTTAATGAAAAGAGTCAAATGCGAATTTTAATTAAAATATTGAATTATAATTTTTAACTAAAACATTTTATTGTAATTTTTAATTTCAGTTCACAATTTCATTTCGTTGTAAATATATTTTATTGCAAATTTTAATTCAAAGATTTTATACTTCTAATTAAAATTCTCCAAAAACTTGATTATTTTTTCAATATTTTTCAAAAATCTATAAAATTCTTTTATAAAATTCAATTATTTTCAGAAAATTTTACTAAAATAAATTTGTTTTCTAAATTTCAGTTAATTGAAAATTTTCCAAATTATATAATTGAAAAATCTGTTATATTTAAAAAATTATTGAAAAATACGTATAAATGACTAATTTTAAGAATCTTTTTATTATCATTTTTTAAAAATCGATTATTTTTAATAATTTCAATAATTCACCTCAATAATTTTTTTTAAAAACAAAACATGAAGTTTTACAGTTACAATTATTATGAAAAATTGAGTATTTTTTTAGTAATTGAATTCTTGAAAAAACTTTTCAAAAATTATGAAAATTAATTTATTTAGTGAAAAAGTTTAGTTAAAAATTCTAAAAAGTAATTAAATATTAGAAAAGTTCCAAAAAACTTTTTAAAAATTATGAAAATTAATTTATTTAGTGAAAAAGTTTAGTTAAAAATTCTAGAAAGTAATTAAATATTGGAAAAGTTTCAAGCAATTTTTAGAAATACAAATTTTCAATAAAAAATTAATATAAAAGTTTTAAACAATTCTAGTTAAAATTCAAGAAAATAATAAAATTAAAAAAAAAAATTACATTTTTGTACTTTTTAGTAACAATTAAATTGCAGAAGGTTTGAAATTAAAATTTTTAAAAAGTGTTGAATTTAAAAAAAATTTAATTAAAAATTCTAATGTAGTTTGGTTTTTTGAAAAAAATTTATTTT